TTTATACTCAGAATCTTACCAGAAAGAGCAATACAAATGCAGAAAGACTTTATTTTTTAAAGCTTTTCACCCCAAGCAAGGCAGGAAGCCACTAGGACGCAAGGGGTCACGGAAGATTTGGAGCAAGATCAGATAGGAGTGATAGAGGAAAGGATGAGGAGAAGGATAGTGGACAGATCAAGGCAACTGGAGATGTCGATTGACATTACATTTGAATAGTTGGAGATTATAGCTCTCAGGGAAACTGGAATAGGGAAGGGAGTTCCACAGGCAAGTGGTGCAAGACATGAAGCTATTGGAGTAGAAGAGACGGCTACATTTAGTAGTTTCAACAGTGAAAGGGGGAGAGCGTGATGCCAGCCTCGTAGGGCGCTGGAACTCATGAAGTCTGGGAACCAGCGAATGCAGCTCCTCGGAGCAATTACCATGAAAGTATTTGTTAAAAAGACAGAGAGAGGCGACGGCGCGTCTGTGAGAGAGCGACTGTTGACGAGATGCCAGAACAGGGCCAATTATATTGCATATCCGCCTCTAGAGCCTATCAAGAATCCCGAGGCAAACAGAAGGTGCTCCAGACCATATATGGCAGCAATACTCCATGCAAGGGCGAATTGTTGATTTGTAGATCTGAAGGATCGATTCCGGAGAGAGAAATTTCCTGGCGCGGCACAGGGAGCCAACTTTCCTTGTGGTGGGCGAAGCAATTGACTCAATGTATTTGTTCCATCTCAGGTCAGCATTCAACGTGAGACCGAGCAGCCGCAGAGAGTTGCTCTCGAGAAGTTGAGCGTCAGACATTCTAATGGAGGGCAGGGAAGGATCTCTGTGGTGATTAATAGAGAGCACCCGTGTTTTATAGATTACGCAAAAGGCGTTCGATAAAGTACTCAACAGCCTTGGCATGTTTTGGAAGGATATTAAGAAGTTATACTTGTAGTAAACAGCCGGCGTACGGATAGAAAATGAGTTCAACAGATATACGAAAATAGAAAGGGACTTAATCTATACAGCGAGGCTATTCTGAGAGAATTAAAAGTCTTACATTGATTCATTATTGGTGACCACAACCATAACAAGATAAAATACGCAGATGACACAGTGATGATAGAAGACACAGAAAGAAAACTACAAAAACTCCTACAGAAGGCAGTGAAGGAAAGCGAGAAGAGAGGATTAAACATTAACTGCAAGAAGACAGAATGCGTGGTTGCTAGCAAAAAGATGAGCTCAAAATGCAAATTACAAATCAGCGATGCCCAAACCAAACAAGTACAAAAATCTGGCACAAGTTCTAACAGAGGACAGAAAGTGCGACACTGAAATCCGAAGGTGCATTGGGATAGCGAAAGATGTCTTTCAAAAGCTAAGCAAAGTATTAAGAAACAGAAAAAAAAAATATTGTTAGAAACAAAGAAAAGAGTACTGAAATGTTACGTGATATATGTCCTCTTATATGGCAGTGAATGCTGGACATCTTCCTCAAAGATGAAGAAGAGAATCAAAGTAACAGAAATGTAGTTCTACAGAAGGATGCTGAGGATACCATAGACCGAATATGTGAGCAACTACGAAGTTTTGGGGAAAATATAAACAAAAAGAAAACTTATACTTAACGTCAGGATGAGACAGTAGAAATTTCTAGTGCAAATAAGGAAAGATGGTTTGGCAACTCTGATACACATAGGACAGATTGAGGGCAACAGGAACAGAGGAAAATAGCGCATGACCTATTAGCGAGCTTGAGTAAATGAATGGCGGAACAAGGTTTAGGAGAAATAACAAAAAAAGCAAAATTTATTAAGAGCTACAAGGATCACCCACGTCCTGAAAGGACATGGCATAGGAAACATGTCCAACATTCGTTGCTATACAGAGAATTAGATATAATGCAGAAGTTCAGCTCTGTATTTTTCTCTTAATACTTTCTTTATTTACTGAAAGCCATCTTTCGCTTTTTCGGATTTCTCTGTCACTCAGTTTCTTCCCCAGCAATACTTATCGAACACAACCATCTTCACTTTATCAAGTCTAGGGTTAACTGAAATATATCATATATATCCTTATAATATGTATATCTTCCTCAATTCCTTTACGCCCTTAAAACAATCTATTTCATTAACCCTCTAGCTTGAGTGGCTCTTAGGCCTTGTGTTGGAAGTTATATTTATCAAATAAAAAGAACCTAGGGTTAATTTATGTGGTTAAAACCGATATACAGTGACTGAATCAATCTGTTTCGTTTTCGAATTCAGAATAGTCCACTTTCTAGAGTGGCTGCCACCCAAGTCCGAGGGATCCACTATTTAAATCAGGTTGACAAGGCATGGATCCATGCCTTTCCCAAGGGCAATAGTGTGACTTGAACGCAACAGGCGAGGACAGAACGAACTCAGATTGCCGATTCTACTTCCTGTGCCAATAACAGATACACTATCTACGCACGCCGAATCTGCCCCTATGATCACTTGTGGAGAGCAGAAGGTTGCGTGTTCAAATCACGTCGGGGTACCCAGTTGTGGTGGGTAGTATTTGACTTCTTGCCGCTAACAAAAGTTGAATGTCGGTGGACCGCAATAAACAAAACTAAGACTTGATTATTATAATCAGATTATAAAATGAATGGCCAATGTTTATTGGCGTACGTAGGTACAAGATGCTGAATTATAGAAAATGATTGACCTCAAGTTACCCTGATGTTGAGTGATGGCGACTGAATCTCCCTTTCGTTGGGAGGTCTATGAAACACGTCCGAACACAATGGCTAGGAAGCGCGAAGAGAGCGTTCATCTCCTTTCCGGAAGTGGGGCCATAAAATTCACACCTGATCGGAAGCTCTTTTTGGTTTATTGCATTATGGGAAAATGAAATTCTTTATTTTTTATTATTATTATTTTATTTATCATTTTATTTTTTTAATCTATTTTAATTCTCCCACACATTATAAATATATATAAAAGAACTTTATTTGATTTCTTAATAAAACGCCGGTTATTGATTGTGCACCACGAATTCATAAGCCCGGTTTTGATTTTATAAATAGACAACCAGAACTACTGGTAAGTTATCGTAGTACTCCAACACACTATTGTACTTGGAGATCTGATCGTAATACTACGCGTAGCAAGTTTCAGTAATGATTTCCTTTTTAAGGAAAAACCTAAATTGACGCTGAATAATTACCGATAGAAATTCTGTCGACTTTGTGGCGTAACAGACGGACGGACGGGCGTAACAGCTCGAACAAACAAGCCTCAAATGCAATGAAATAAGTTGATTTCTTATTCGAAGCACATAGAACACCATTCATCAAAGAGAAAACATATTGCTTCTTGCAAAGCAAAAAAAAAAAAAAAAAGACAATGCTGAAAATCACCAAATGCAGAGTCCCTTAAAAAATTAATTGTCAAGCAGCTGTTGTGGATCAAATTTCCATCGCTGATTCTTAAAAACATTTTTAAGAAAAATGTATGACCAACTAGCATCCGTTATGGCAGCCGACAACGGACACGATCGTGCTGACCACTTCTTGAGACGATAATTTATTTTATGACATGTGTGTAGTTGTATGGAGGATTTGAATGGTTTGTTTAATGGCATATCAACTACTTATGGGTCATTTAATGCCAAAATTTTATATTCTTATGAGCTTTAGTAATTTTTTTCCTAAAATGTACTGCTGGTATTTTTTTTTTAATGTTATATGAAAATGTATTGCTGGTAATTTTTTTTCTAATGTATTTTTATATTTTCATGTTTCGACCTCCAGTTTTGGGGGTCACTATTTACCCATAGTTGGGACCCTAACAAGTACTACCACCTTGGATCAGAGTGGACCTGGGAACAACAGCAAATAAGAGGTGGTTTCACACTCTTTAAAAACTTTCGATCAGAGGCCTTGGTTCCGGATGTAGTTCACCATTAAACATGTATTTGAATGACTTATTCGAAGACGATTCGGGGATGGGAATTTCATTGCACTATGAGAACCTTTATTTCTGATTCCAATGGACCTAATCACCACCCGATAGCTTCCTGTATCCGATATAGCTAATTACAGCCCAGCAGCTCTCAACTCTCTGTCCGGTCTATTTAGTTATCAAGGCGGCAATTGGTTCTCTGTTCGGTGTACCGAATTACTGCCCGACATCATTCTACTCTGCGTTCGGTCTACCGAGTTACGTTACTGCCCGTTACGTTACAGAGTTTGAATTTGAGTACGGTGTACCTAAGTACTGCGCAACAGCATTAGACTCTGTATTCGGTCTATTTAGTTGCCACTTGACAGTTGTCAAAGCTGTGTCAAATGTACCTTATCTTGATTCTGTATCTGATGCACGGTGGGGTAGTGGATAGCGGCTTGAGGTCGAATCCATTACATTCACTTACATGCTAATACCCTTGGAAAATGTATTAATCCTCTTCTTCTCCCTCTAGTTTTGGGTAAATAGGAGAATAGACCGGGTTCTTTAGCCTTGGATGGTAATTGGTTTAGAATTCAAAACCTGTGGAGAGTCGTTTGTGTAACTTGTGTCACAAAAAGTGTGGTCAATTCTGCACAAAGCCTTCACCACTAGAATCAAATCATATGTGCTGGTGTCTGGCTGTCGGTTCCTGCTTGACCCTCATACGTTGAATACGACGGGAGTGTCCACCATTGATACACCAAATTAAAACTCCGATAGATTTGATTATGTGTCCAGTGTACCTACTTACCGTCCGGCAACCTTTGATTCTGTCAGTTTTGTACCTAAATACTGCTTAGTCTCCATTCCATAACCTTTTGCAAACGGACTGAACCTGATGCGCCTCTTTACTATACGAGAGCTTTTTAAAAATAATTATCAGTTTAAATTTCCGAGGATTTTAGTAATTGGTGCGGCTTACGGCCACACCACATTAAAACATGCCTGAAGAAGTTGGATTTTTCCTGTTCCTTATCCTTATTAAATGTTTTTCTTTCAAATATTACTTGGACGATTGAAGGTCTTCTTCATAATTGCTTACGTCCACATCAGGTCGAAACACTGGTTCTCATACGATCACGTAACTTAAGCAACGTCGAGCTTGGTCAATACCTAGATGAGTGACCATTTGGGAATACCAGGTGATGCAAGCTTAAATGTGCGGGTGGAGTTATGGATAATTGAATTGTTAATCGGAAAGCCGAGTTCCAATTCATGTTGGGTTCGTTATATTCACTTACACGCATGACGGGTAATGGATGGCGGCTCCGATTGAGGAATCGGAGAGCCGAGTTCTGATTCTAGCCGAATCCTTTACATTCACTTACGTGCTAATACCCTCGCGAAAGGTGTGGATCCTTTTATTCCCCCCCCCCAGTTATGGGTAAATATCAGGACAGACCTGGTTCTATAGTCTTGGATAGCAACTGGTCTACCAAAGAAAGAAATGGTAACCTACTGCGGGAAAAAATTTGCCTCGACAATCATGTATCGAAAGATACATGATCGCATAGGGGTGTATCACGCATGGCACAAAACTGACAGACCCTTGAGAAAGGTATGAATCCATCTCTTCTCCCTCCCAGCTATGGGTTAATTAGTAAGAGTTGTATCACTAAATAATTATTATCTCTAAAAAAAAAAGAAAAAACTTACAATCTAAAAATATTTTCTGGCTTTAAATAAACTGCAAAGAGTCGATAAGCCGTAAAAACGAATCATTAAAAAACTAATTGCTGTATTCATTTCCATGAATTGTGAAATTTTATTTATATGCATTATGATCCAGAATGATGATCATATTTCATCATTCTAAAAATAACCTTGCAATCAGTGATGATAGAAAATAAGCATATTTTATCATTCAAAATCTGAAACTTCATGATGGTCATGGTCCAGTTCCTTGTACCACGGTAATAGTCCAAGGTAGAACCAATAAAGAAGAACTCGAACACGGATATGGAATAACACAGGTATATTACAAACAGGAATATATACAGAGAAGTAGAAAGTGTTAGTACGAACAATCAGGTTTAGTAGTAATTGTCTGAACGCGATTCTGTTTCGGGTTGCCTCTGACTCGACTGACTGACTCGCTCGCTCTGACTGACTGACAGACTCCTGACGGACTTCACTCCAGACTTCAGACTGAACAGTATTTAGTCACCCCACCACGAGGGCATCATGTGGCACAAAGCCAGTTTAATGTGGGATCTCCGAGCCCGTGGGCTCGACCAAAAATATACCTTTAAACCCGTATAAACGGGTTCATGGTCGGTTTACACCCCCCCCCCCCCAAAAGAGACTCCGCCCTTCGGCGTAGCCTCGTTCGGGTTCCTCCCCGCCCGAAGGCAGAGTTCAACCGACTTCAGACTGAACGGTATTTAGTCACCCCACCACGCGGGCATCATGTAGCGCAAGGCCGGTTTAACGTGGGATCTCCGAGCCTGTGGGCTCGTCCAAAAATATGCCCATTGAACCCGTATAAACGGGTTTATGTTTGGTTTACCTCCCCGAAAGAGACTCCGCCTTTCGGCTTAGCGTCGTTCGGGTTCCTCCCCGACCGAAAGCAGAGAGTTCAACCGATCAGCCGATCAGCCGGTCGCCCGACTTCGGACTGAACTCCCTGCTTCCTCTTGAGGCGCAGTATTTATTACGTATGGAATAGTCTATTATGTTATTATGGGTAAGGTCTCATAACAATGATTATAAAAACGCCCCTTCTTTATATAATCGCTGAGTGGCTCCCAGCATATGAGCGGGAAAACAGACTGGTCGCGTGCAGGCGGTTTGATTGGTCGGAACTGACCAATCAGCAAGCTAGATTGGAGGTGATTGACCAATGAATACTTGTTATATTGTATGAAAGTAGAATTTTACTTACCAGATAGGAAGAGTGCATTTCCTAAAAATAGGTAAGGCTGGTTTGTTGTGGAAGATTCCACAAATATCTATTGGACAGTAATTAGATTTTAATACAATGTAGGTTTTGATTTCTGAATACCCAGTCTTCATTAACAACGATAGTCGACATTAACAACGGAATCTCTTGTACAGAAATTTACAGTGAATGGCTAACAGAAGACAAAATGGAGAAGAAGAAAAAGAAACAAAGGCTAAAATGGTGGATGCATTGGAAAACTGTATAAAGGAAATTCTTTTTCTTCTTTTTTGCACCCCCCACACACAGTATGGTGGAAATTAGCAACTCTTAAAAGGTCGGAGAGAAATCACAAAGACCCGGATATTTTCTTGATATACCGTGGGTCTGGTAAAGAAACACCGTCTCTTAATATAGCGAGGACATTATTATCGGAAACCTTAGATGAACATTTAATGGATTTGCTGTCATTTTCTTAAAAACCTGGTTGTTTTATTATTCTTTTGAATTTCTCTTTTGTCCTAGTCGCATTGTATTTCGGTCATTATCTCAGTCTCTCTCTCTCTCTCTCTCTCTCTCTCTCTCTCTCTCTCTCTCTCTTCTCGCAAGCAGAAAAAGAATTTCGGGATTCTGACTCCAAACTTCCATAAAAGTTTTGTGTATGCGAAATTAATTCTTCATTTGAACAAATTCACTGCATACACTAATGTACACGTAGGCAAGCGACCATCTGTAAAACACATACACAATACACACGAAGCACTAAGAATCGAAGAAGCGAAATGGCGTTCAAAAAGAAAGAAGTGGGGTGATTTCAAGAGATGTATAAAATGTCCAGGGAAAAATTCGGTAATTTGAACAGATAGGTAGATCTGTTCAAATTCCCCGAATTTATTGTTATATATATATATATATATAAGTGGTGATAACGTTCGTTTTCTGATCATGGTCGAGACTTCCTGATATTAGCGGTTTGGGCGATCCAAGCGTTTGGAAAGGGCCTGAAAACCATACCACGGCTTGACCGTGTGATCGAAATAGCTGTGCTAGCAAAAGTCATCGTGAATAAGGGTTTGAGCGTGCAGTCCATGATCACGCTAGATAACACTGTAACTAAGGTTTGCTCAGCATAGTTGTAGTAAAAACCATAGGTGGCCTCTGTGGTATTGAAATAGGAGTTGACTAGCCGCCCTAGTAGACGGGTATCACCGAATACGAATGGCCAGCTATATATATATATATATATATATATATATATATATGAATGATGAAATATAGTTTTGAGGTATACTATGTATCTATATTGGTTAAAGTTATTAATATCAGAGATAGAGCGTATGTAAATATAGAAGTGGACATTTAATCAAACCACCGGAGGCGACAGTCTGTTTCATGCTTGAACGCAATCGTTAGGCTTGACGATTAAGTTTAAGCATGAAACAGACTGTCGTCACTGTTCGTTGACTCATGTATATATATATATATATATATATATATATATATATATATATATATATATTTTTGGTTAGCAATCCTTTTTGATCATTTAAAGCTTTTTATTTAACTTTTCTTGTGTTCGTATGTATTTTCTTTTCTGACATATGTTATATATATATATATATATATATATATATTATATATATATATATATATATATATATATATATATATATATATATATATATATATACAAAACTTTATACAAAACTTTTTCAGTTATTCTATTAGCTATTATCATTTTTTTTTTTTAATTTTACGTGTGGGTAGCTTCTTATATATCTATCTAATCAATTGTAAATAAATATAAGTTAGTTTGACATATGTTTGCTATTTGTTCTTTATCTTTTATATATATATATAATATATATATATATATATATATATATATATATATATATATATATATATATATATATATATATAGTAGGTCACCGCAGCCAAGGCAGGAATGCTACTAGCACGCAAGGGGTTACAGAAAATGAGAGCAGGAATAAAGAGGGTGTTTGAGGAAAGGATTATAGGTTATAGCTATCAGGGAAGCAAGTAAGAGGAAGGAAGTTCCACTGATCGGAAGTGCGAGATAAGAAGAAGCTGTTGGAGTAGAAGAGACGGCTACATGTAACCGTTTCGACAGTGAACTGGTGGGACCTAGATGCCAACCTAGTAGCATGCTTAAATTCATGCAGTTTGGGAATCAGTGAAAGTAGATCGTCAGAGCTGTTGCCAGGAAAATATTTGTAAAAAAGACAGCACATATATATATATATATATATATATATATATATATATATATGTCGCGTGTGTGTGTGTCACTTCAAACGTTATTGTTAGTGGATAAAATGAAGGCACTTTATCACTAATAAGTTTTCTCTAGTATACATATGTGTATCTATGTATATTTAGATTACACTTGGTGCAAAAATAATGACGTAATAATGTCGTTTTGACGTATTTTTAACGTCAAAAACGACATTCTTACGTCATTATTTTTATAAACAACCTTATATTTATGCCTCTTTGTACATAGCTCAGAGTTTCATGTGGGGATATTAATGAGGAGAACTATATCAGTTAGACCAATTGTAAATGTGTGTGTGTGTGTGTGTGTGTGCTCATATCTGCGCGTATGTGTTTACTGTTGGACAGTTAGTTTAAAAATTATTTGATAGCAATTTAAGATATAAAATTTTACGGGACTAGACCTAAAACATTTCGTTTATGAAAACACTTCCGAATGCACAGGCCAGCAAAATACATTTACACAAGTTTAAAAACATGTGCATCCACTAAATATAAGTTTAAAATTATATATATATATATATATATATATATATATATATATATATATATATATATATATATATATATGTCAAAACAAAGCTTGAGTTAATTTCTTACGTCGTCTCAACATGTTTTATCAAAGATTATTAGATTCATTTTAGAACCTGTAGTCTGAAGTTATGAAAATCAGACACTCACTTTTTACTACAATAACCAGCTAATAAAATCATCAACAACTGGTCACCTATAATAGAACAATTAACAAACAGATATATCATTTGAAGTATTTACATCTGAATATAGTGACCCTTCGCCATAACAGCCATATATTATAACAGCAATATATTATCCATTGATTTTGTTCAATATTTTACTTCAGTAGATTCAATATCCTAACCTAAAAGAAAAATACATAGACAATTTGAAAAGAGGCACACAATGGAAACTCGAAATGAGACGCACTACGAGACGTTTTAGTGACATCAGCAAA